AGAGAGAGAGAGAGAGAGAGAGAGAGATGGGTTAGCTGCAGTTGAAAGTTAACACTCGTCCCGCTTTTGCTCTTCCTTGCCCGCGTTCTTTAACCGCATTTTATCTCGCCATACCGTCCCCCACCCACCGTTATTTATCCAAGAGAATCGAGTTTCGAATCGGGATCGGATGAAACGATCGGCATCCACGCTCTTCGACGTGTCTCGCGGTTAAACCTCGCGAATTTCATCTTGGCAATAAGCTCTCCCCTTATCGCCTCCCCTTTTGTCTCTCGTAAATCGTCCGCGCGGATATCTAAAAATGGCGAACGCGAAGATATCGAACGAGGGGAGGGGAGAATAATCGAATAATCGGATACGTCAAAGAATACGGAATACGATTACGAGATCGAGTTGTTTCGGCGTTGGTTGAATCGACACCGGTGCTTGTTACGAAGGGGGGGAAAGAGGCTGACCTAAATTGAGATTTCCCAGAGGGGATGAGTCTGTACTATAACGTACATAGTTGGACTATTCTGTTTTAAAAACGCCGCGAGGGGGCAAAAGGAATGAATAAATTTGGAGGCGTTTGAAGGAATCGTTTCTCTCTCATCTAATTTTTACTATCTCGATCGAGGAAAATATTCGGTTATAGTTTGGTTTAACTTTAAGATATCAAGTTTCGAGGTCGATTATCCTCGATTAATCCTCGCGTCGATATACCGCCAGGATATAGCCAAGGATATATCCTTAATGCTTAAAGCTCCAAACTTTTTTATCGTCGTCCCGATAAAAAATTTTCAAGCTCCTCTTTATTTCGAATATTTTCCAATTTACAAATTAAAAGATCTCGAGTACCGGTATACGAGGATTAAGAAACGATTATAACTTTATTAAAAGAATGCTCCCTTCTCCTTCTTTCTCTTCTTTCTCGAACGTCTACTCGCTAATCCGTATCGACCTGTGTAACGAGCTTTGTCAATCCCCATCTTGTATTTATCTTACGAAACGCGATTTATAAACGCGATCGTTTAAAAATTATTGCGAAACCGTTTATCGTACCCGTCAAATGCGATCGTAAGATCGCTAATTCAATATCGCCTTAACGCTTATCGCGGCCGCAAAATATTAAACGCGTCGCGAAATAATTCGAGAAGGAGTAGGAAGTGGAAAAGGAGGAGGAGGAAAGATTGCGGCAAGAATATTTTCCCCGCAGGATAGATCGGTTCCCACAGCCGGATGGAAAATTCCTGGAGCGTCGATTATCGGTCGATTCTCGATCGGCGGAGGGGAACGGCGCTGCTCCGCGCTGCGCGGCGAAATAAAAGCGTAATATAGAGATGCCATTGCGTGGAATCAGGGCTGTAAAAGGCGAAGACGGATATCGTGGACGATCTTCTATAGGCATTATTCGAGCGGATCGTTTAAGGATCCTATATAAAACGCGTATTCATATTTCCCCTTCCGCGGGAAGGAACAAGGATCGTGACGCGATACACCCAATTCGTGTGTATATATGTATAAAATACTCTCGTAAACTTCGTTTTACAGCCGAAAGTTAAAGCTACGCCCTCGTTTGTAAACCGGTGCTAACTCGTGCGCGGAACCTTATTGTTCTCCGCAACACGGAGAACGTTTCCGTTTCACCGGTTTCGATCTCTCCTTCCCAAGAAGAATTAACGAATCTGATTATTTATTTATTTATATCGCGGATAGACGCGACAAGCGATAGCCTAATTTGTCATCGACCCTCGGCCCTCCTGTGTCCGTAAATTCTCGAGAATCCGGACCAAGAGCTCTCTGAAGGGAGGGGGGATTCGAAACACGCGGACGGTGATGCTGATTGCGAGATTATCGGGAGAGTAGATTAATTCTAGCGGCCCGCATACCTCGCCCCGCTCCCTCTTCGAATCGCAATTTACCGGAACTTATAATGGACCGAATCCCTTTGCCTCGCGTCCGACTCAAACTTGCCTAACTCGATCACCGCTTTATAATTCTCGTTTAACTGCGGTGTCCTGGGAAATACGTTTCGCGGCCACTTTCCACGCTCGATAATTTCAAAAATTCTCGAGGAAGGGTTGAAATCTTTAACGTCGGGGAAGAAAATGGGAAACGTCGTCGCGGTGGGAAATTGGGTACGGCTCGCGTGAAAAATTTGCCCCGTGTTTTTACCGTAACGCGAGGACGGGGGAAAGATATTCGGAAGGCATATTCCAAGAGGCGCGTTTCAGAACCGGTTATCGGACATCTTTCGAAATAACCTTTGTCCTATCCGCTTACGTGTTTCCTCGATCCACCACTCCTCTCCACTCCTTACCTCGCAATCCTCCTCGAGGAAAAAATTCCACGTCAACCGACATCGTCTCGCTACTACGCGGCCATCGTCGATCGTAAAATCTTTATCCCCGGTTTAATCCCTTTAGGGGCTCTCCCCAGGTCCCAGGCCGGGATATACCACCGGCTGATATACGGATCATCGCGGCTGAATATTCCGCGTCGTTACGTCGAATAAAAATTCAGCCCGAAGGATGTCGGCTCGAAACGAGCCATTAGTCTTTGATCGCGTTTCGATGTTTGCCCCATATTCACGGAACTGGTGCGGGTACCACCGCCTTTCGGCATGGTCGGCGCTGAAATTTTCATCAGTCTCGTCTCTCCGCCTCTGCCTTCCCCTCCCTCGGTTGATCGGTATCATTACGGTGCCGTCGTCACAGGCATAACATTTCTTTCCGGTGAAACAGGGATATGAAACTATATCCGTGCGATACACGCGTGAAATTCTGTTTCGCGTTTATAATTTGTATTTGGGACGGAATCGTGGCCGAATCGTCCATTAGCGATGAATGGGCATAGATACGAACTTCTAATAACGAGCGTCGTCGAATGGTTGATAATCGAATCGCGATTGAAACATATTGGCCATCCTCTGTTACGGATAAATTTATCGCTAATTATCGATAAACCGCGCAGTCAAGGTCTCTCTCTCTCCCCTCCCCTTTGTATATATTTATATGTAGATTAATATATATATATACATGCTGCAATTTGTCCGCTAGTCTATTAACCGTCGCTAATTGAATGCTAATAAAATTTATAGCCGCGGCTCTAAAAGGGGGTTGCGCGTTCTGTGGACCGAATGCGAACGCGAAAACATAAAAGCGCAGCCGATGCTTTTCGTCGAATCTCGTGATCCGCGAAAAAAAAAGAAAAAGGAAAAAGAGAGGGGGAGAGGGAGGAGAGAACGAGCGAACTCTTTCTATGCATCTACCACCGCAGTTAGTTAAGCTCGTGGTTTTTCACTCGATAACGTTATATAGAGATTTTAATAATACAGGTTGCTCGAAATTAATACACGGTTGACAATTGTTGCATTTTGATATTTAGGTTGACGAATCTCGTGTTTTTTAGAATGGCATTGTGCACACTCGTGACACGCCACGGGACGAGATACCGTGTAGTTCCACTAGGCTGCATCTTGACACGATTTAGCAACGCGGTTAATAGACGACGCCCTAATTTCGTTCGAATTAGCCGAATGAACAATGGCCGTGCAATCGAAAATGGATGCGTGCAAACCAATTTGCGGACGAATAAGGAAGGGAAAAGAAGATATTTTGCGACGAGGAAAGTTTTTCAACTTGGGAATTGGTGAAACGGAAGTGCATAATGCGAGAGGGAAGATCGATGAAGATGAGAACGTGATCTAGATATCTTCGTTATTATGGATATTTGGATATTTGTAAAAAAAGAAATTGTAACGAAAAAGAATTAGAAATTTAGGATCGGATAAGGAATCTATTTGATAAATATAATTCTATTAAGTATATATCTTATTTATGCTCAAAGATTTTATTGATTAAGATGCTAACGAGTTTTGGATTCGTTTCTTTATTTTTAATTCTTTGTGCAATTCGCTTAAAAAACACGTTAATAATTACGATAATATGCATAACAATTTAAATGATAATTCCGAATTAATTTTTCATATTTTTCCTTTTAATAATTATGAACGTTAACGTGTACATAAATTTATTCATGGAACAAGGTTGCGCGCGCGCGTTGCCCTCGGGTTATTTTTCAAAGTTGCTATTAACAACGGGACTCAAAGTAAACAGAGGTTTAAGAGAGAAAGTTTAAGAGAAGGTAGGTTGAAAAGAAGCGGTAACAGTTACTCTCTCTAAAATCGTATAAAACTGCTTCCAAATTATCCGCCTGTTATTAACGCGATAAACGGATTTTAATGAATCTTGTAAACGTTTATTGTAACGAAAAATTCTAACATCGGGGAACGGATGGTTTCGTTCACGGTCAGAGAGACAATTTTAATTATTTTTTCACGAAATTTTTTTTTTTTTTTTTTTTTTTTTTTTTATTTCGCGAGAACAGAATCGTCGCTCGCGAAATTTCGCGCGTTGCTAACGTTAAGCGAGAATTAATTTTATTTGTACTTCGTTTAAGTGAGCGGTAATCAACAGCTATTATCCAGCTTTAATCGAATTTAAATTAGAAACTTGCATTATTATATACGATGGCGTTTCAAGATGGTGGCGCACGTGCAAAGATAAATGTCGAGAAAAAGGGAATAAAATTTAGTATTAAAGAGAACTTTTTCGAGTGCGAGAAACATTTGATGTTTAATCGAAAAAGGGATCAATTTTTAAAAGGAAACTGTTTGTTGAACCGTTGGAGATGTTTGGTAAAATGTGGAGTTTAAAGGGTAACGTTTAAAGGGTAGGAATAATGGCGCGCTCGAAAGTGGAATGAGCACGTATGTAATCAGACACGCGAACAGTGAAATAATATCTACGCTCTGAGCCATTTCGTATGAAAAGGGAAACAAAATTCCATGCTCTCGAATTAACCTTAATTTCTCTTAATTATTCTCAACCTTCGAACCCGTGACTCGAAAAAAGATATGCGTAAAAAAAGAAGGATCTTTAGAATCGTCTCTTCTATTTAAATCTTCCATGATTTGAATAAAAGTTACTGTTTTTTTTTCTTTTTTTTTTTTTTAAGGATTTATAGGAACGAGGATTTACAAAAGCGGGGGAAACTTTTGAAAATTTATCTTTCAAAAGTAAAAAAAAAAAAAAAAAATTTATTAAAAGACCGAATAAAGAAAGCAAATCCTTTTTATAATACAACATAATAGGCTGCTTCGGTTTGTTCCCATATATTTAAAATTTCCAAAAGCATCGTTCCTTTCTATTTACGTAACCACCGTTTCGATTTCTCGTGATTGAATACATTTATCGTCGTATTTTCAAAATGCAAAGAAAGGGGTAAAGTAAAGAAAACATGGTCGTTCCGTTCGTTTTCCATAGTGAAAGCCACACCGCGCAGATCCATCTTTATTTACGTGTACATCTTCCGTACGAAGGGCAGCGACGTTCATTCGCCGTGAAACCCCATTGTATTCGCAGCTGTACCAGAAACACGTACAATGGTTTCTAGGTATCCGCTCCAACCTCTGAGCGGGTTAGGTTGCGACCGATGTTGAAACTAGCGCAATCCCAACGCTTATAGCCACAATGAACCATATCGTGCGTGGGAGAGTGGCGGAAAGAAAAGAAGATTCGCGATCGATCAAACGTTGGATTATCGATAACTTCTGATTAACTCTTTCTCTCTCTCTCTCTCTTCGTGAGACGCAACCTTCGGTTTCGGAAGATCAATTCGTCTGTTGCAAGAGAGTTGGAAGGAAAAAAGAAATAAAAAAAATAGGAAAGAAAAAAGAAGAAACGAACGAGCTTCGTTTCACGAGTTTTTCCAACGAAAAAACCGGCGAGGCATAAAAATAATTTACAAGGGAATCGAGTAAGAAGGCGAATAGTCGGAGCAGACTGCAGAATTCCACCCCGCAATCTGGCATTAGCTTTCCGGGGAAACGACAACCCTTCTTATGAAATTACATCGAGCTAGATGAAGACTCTTTCGGAAACGGAGAGTTGATGACGGAAGAGAGGGAAGGGAAGAGGGAGAGAATAAAGATTTTCACTCGTGAAATTCCTTATCTCGGTAAAGATTCCTCTGAATTTTTCTTTTTAAACGCGCCGAGGTTTAACCCCGCGAAATAAACTCGACTTTGAGATCGAGCAGAATTAAATACCGAAATAGACGGGAAGGGGGGGGGAAAAAAATCCTTCCTTCGCTTGGCCGAATTGCTAATCCTCGAAATCGTCCGGAGTAACGTCGAAACGTTGCTACCTTTTCTAAACCTCTCCTCTCTCTCTTTCTCTTTCTCTCTCTTTCTGTGTTTTTTCTCTTTTTCCCCCTCCTTTCTCAAGAAGCGAATGCGAAACTGGAAAATAAGCGGGAGCTTTCAGCGGAAAACCGATCTTTATTCGGGCGCATTGGAACACACATCCGGTCGGTCCCAGGAGTGCGGCAACAGTTTCCATTTCAGAATAAGTGAGGGAAAAGTGGAAGTGGGCTTTCAGCGAGGCCGTTTGTAACGAGACAAAGGGACGTTTATTCGCCCGGAACCGGAACTGGGTGTCTCCTTACGAATTACTTTCGCGTCGGGAATCGATTTCCGATCGCCCGCGGCCAGAATCCCCGCTGTTGACTCGGCACGAACCAGATAAGATGGGACAGCAAGCAAGGAGGAGGAGAGAGGATTTGCCGAGTCGAAAAGCGGGAAAATGGACGGGCCGGCCTCGGGCTTTCTTCTCTCGGCCCCGCTTCTCACTCTTTAAATATTCCAAGATCCTCGGCTATCCCGCGTATGCCCGTGTTTTCCAATCGAAAATTTGACAATTTTACGTGTATACACGGTGGCGTGGCATCACGTCAAACACGATAACCCCTCCCCCCGCTTCATTGTTTCTAATTCCGCTCGGCTCGAATCGCGACGATAAAAGTTTTTCGGAAATACGGGGAAAATGTAAATTCATCGAGGCGGAACGAGCCCGTTTTAATGAAAGGGGGGAACTGAATGTGGGGGGAAGAGCAAAGGTGGGGAAAGTTTGGTGGAGAATCGCGTTTGCTTTCGAATGGAAGAACGTAAAAGTGGTCGGAGCGCGCATCAATCTCCGAATTGTTAGACGACATGCGCGAAGTGAATTTAATTCTCGAAAAGAAGAATTAATTAAGATTAACGAGTCTCTCTCTCTCTCTCTCTATTCCTTTCTCTATAGGTGGTAATAAATCCAACAGATCCTTTTGCCGTATTTTCTTCTTTTTACAGAATTATTCGGGTAACTAAATAAACGGGACATGACGTTGGGAAGATACGAAACGCTATGAATCACAATTTTCCACAATTTTCAACCCTCTCCTTCGCCATCGCCAAACACGAAAATATAGAAGGAAAAATGTGTACGTTGCTTTATCGATTAATAAATCGATATGGAAACCGAATCACGAAAGATCATTCTCGGATGAAGATTCGAAATCTCGCATCTCGATAAAGAACGAATGAATCGATCTCGTAATATCTTTTGTATTTTCAGAAGAATCGGGTTCGAAATATTTCGATACAGACCTATCATCGCAATAGGGTGGATATTTCAAAGATACAAAGATTGTATATTTTTCCTGAGGACATCGATAAACTGTATTGGGGAGGTATCCATTGCAATTTTATGTATCGAGAAAGTCGATTCCGTGGTTGGGATTCTTTTCATCATTTCTCCGCTTCGATTCGAGGAGGAGCGGGGAGTGGATTCGAGGCGAAGGAGAGATAAGATGGAAGAGGTAAGGGAAAAGAAATGTGTGGGAAGAAGAGGGAGGAAAGAAGATAAGAAGCTTTGACGAAGTGGCAAAGTGAAAAATGGGGAAAGTAACATCGCGCTTAAAGAATTCGACAAAAGTGGATCTCCGTGGTAACTCTGTCTTTGGTAACGCGAGTTTCAATCTTTCTAATGGACTAACTTTCTCTAACAATTATCGCGGCGAGGAAACAGATGTCGAAATTCTGACTCCTGTTTTCAAAGTCACGAAGCAGAAACGATGGAGATGGAAGGATCGGTATTTATTATCGTCGATTGGTCAAACATATTCGATGCGAATAGCGTTTCGAGTATCTTTCGAATTAACCGAGATTGGCTACAGTTTTAACAGAGGCCAACTCCGCGTCGAGTGTATTGCAAACAAAACGAAACGGT